CTCTCTGCCCCTCCCCTGTTCATGCTCTGTCTCTCTCTGTCCCAAAAATAAATAAACGTTGAAAAAAAAAATTAAAAAAAAAATAAAAACAAAGTGTATCTCAGAGCAAATATTACAAAGAAGGTCATTTCATAATAATAAAAAAGCCAAACAAGAACATAACTATCTTAGGCATTTATACATCTAATAACAAGGCTTCAAAAGAATGAAGCAATTACAGAATCATAAGGAAAAATAATCTTCAATTACAATACAGATTTCAAAAAGAACTATCCCCCATCCCCCAATAATTAAGAGAACAAGTAAACAGAACATCAGTAATATCAAAGCTTGAACAACACTACCAACCAATTTGACCTACCTGTCATTTATATAATATTCCATCTAACCAAAATACAATGCACATTCTTTTCAAGTACATACAGGACATTTATGGCCTGGAGAATATTCTAAGGATAAAACAAACCTCAATAAATTTGAAGAGATTCAGTTCATACAAATTATGTTCTCTGACCACTAGAAAATTAGTAATCAATAACAAATCTGGGGGCAGCTGGCTGGCTCAGTCATAAGAGCATGTGATTCTTGATCCCAGGGTTGTGAGTTCAAGCCCCACATTGGATGTAAAGATTAAACTTAAAAAAAAAACAAAAACAAGGGTGGGAGGGAGGGGAAGGTGGGTGATGGGTATTGAGGAGGTCACCTTTTGGTATGAGCATTGGGTGTTGTATGGAAACCAATTTGACAATAAATTTAATATTAAAAAATAATAAGGTAAACATATAATTACCACTATGAATTAAAACACTCAATTTTGACATCTTGAAAAAAAATCTAGAGTGCCTGGGTGGCTCAGTCAGTTAAGTGTCCAACTTTTTAATTTTTAAATTTACAAACAAGGTGGTTAGCATATAGCGCAATGATTTCAAGAGTAAAATCCAATGATTCATCCCCTACATATAACACCCAGTGCTTATCCCGAGTCTCCTCCTTAATGTCCCTTGCCCACTTAGCCCATCCCCCCACCCATAACCCCTCCAGCAACCCTCAGTTTGTTCTCTATATTTAAGAGTCTCTTGTGTTTTGTTCCCCTCCCTGTTTTTTATTTTTGCTTCTCTTATGTTCATCTGTTTTGAATCTTTAAAAAATTAATGTTTATTTTTGAGAGAGAGAGAGAGAGAGAGTGTAAGTGAGGGAGGGGCAGAGAGAGAGGGAGACACAGAATCCAAAGCAGGCTGCAGGCTCCAGGCTCCAAGCTAGCAGCAAAGAGCCTGACAAACTCAAACTCACAAACCAGTGAGATCATGACCTGAGCCGAAGTTGGCCACTGAACCAACTGAGCCACCCAGGCACCCCATCTGTTTTGAATCTGAAATTCCACACATGAGTGAAATCATATATTGTCTTTCTCTAATTTCACTTAGCATAATACACTCTAGTTCCATCGATGTTGTTGCAGATAGCAAGATTTCACTTTTTGATTGCCAAGTAATACTCGTGTGTGTGCATGTGTGTGCACGCACGTGTACCACATCTTCTTTATCCAGTCATCTGTCGATGGACATTTGGACTCTTTCCATACTTTGGCTATTGTCGACAGCACTGCTATAAACATTAGGGAGCACGTGCCCTTTTGAAACAGCACACCTGTATGGATAAGTACCTAGTAGTGCAATTTCTGGGTTGTAGGCTAGATCAATTTTTAATTTTTTGAGAAAACTCCATACTGTTTTCCAGAGTGGCTGCACCACTTTGCATTCCCACCAGCAGTGCAAAAGAGATCCTCTTTCTCTGCATTCTCACCAACATCTGTCATTGCCTATGTTGTTCATTTTAGCCATTCTGACAGGTAAAGTGGTATCTCATTGTGCTTTTTATTTGTATTTCCCTGATGATGAATGATATTGAGCATTTTTTCATGTGTCTGTTAGCCATCTGGATGTCTTCTTTGGAGAATTGTCTATTCATGTCTTTTGCCCATTTCTTCACTGGATTATTTGTTTTTTGGGTGTTGAGTTTGATAAGTTCTTTACAGATTTTGGATACTAACCCTTTACCTGATATGTCGTTTGCAAATATCTTCTCTCATTCTGTTGGTTGCCTTTTCGTTTTGCTGATTGTTTCCTTCACTGTGCGGAAGCTTTTTATGTTGATGAGGTCCCAGCAGTTCATTTTTGCTTTTGTTTCCCTTGCCTCTGGAGACGTGTTGAGTAAGAAGTTGCTGTGGCTGAGGTCAAAGAGGTTTTTGCCTGCCTTCTCCTCTAGGATTTTGATGGCTTCCTGTCTTACATTTAGGTCTTTCATCCATTTTGAGTTTATTTTTGTGTATGGTGTAAGACAGTGGTCCAGGTTCATTTTTCTGCATGTCACTGTCCAGTTTTCCAACACCATTTGCTGAAGAGACTGTCTTTATTCCATTGGATATTCTTTCCTGCTTTGTCAAAGTTTAGTTGGCCATTAAGTGTCTAACTCTTGATTTCAGCTCATGATATCAGGGTTTGTGAGTTTGAGCCCCAAGCCTCACATCAGGCTCCATGCTCACAGTGCAGAGCCTGCTTCGGATTCTCTCTCTGCCCCTTACCCAATCGTGTGTGTTTACACTCTCTCTCTCTTAAAATAAATAAAATTTTAAAAAATCTGGAAAATATCCAAATAGTATAAACTAATAGCCCAGAGGATAAAGAAATCAATGTATTCTGAACTGGATGAAAACAAAAAGACACCAAAGTATATGAAACACAGGTAAAGCAGTTCTTAGGGAAATTTATAGCACCAAACACTTATATTACAAAAAAAGAAAGGTCTCAAATGAATGATCTCAGCTTTGACCTTAAACTAAACAAGAAAGAAGCTCAAAGTAAGCAGAAGAAAGCAAATAAAGATCAGAATCGAAGAAAAAACAAAAGATCAGAATGGAAAACAATGAAATGGAAACAGAAAACCAGTAAAGGGAATCAATGGAACCCAAGTTGATTTTTTTGAGATCAATATAACTGATAAATCTCTAACTCAGGGTTGCCATGCTATGGCTCATAATCCAGCTGCCTGTTTTTGTAAATAAAGTCTCACTGGAAGCCTCACCCATAGAGCTGTGTTTACTCTCTAACAGCATTGCCGAGTAATTGCAATTCTGACTATATGGCCTAAATATTGACTATTTGGCCTTTTAAGAAAGAAAAAGTTTGAGGATCTCTGCTCTAGCCAAACAGATCGGGAAAAGAGAAAACAAATGATCAACATCAAAAAATGAGAGAAGTGACATCACTACAGATTTTACAGATATTTTCAAATAAGGTTATATTATGAACACCTTTATGCCAATAAATTAACTTACTGAAATGGACAAATTCTTTGAAAGACAATACCAAAGTTCACTCAAGAAGAAACAGAAAACCTGAATAGCTATATCTGTTAAAACTGATAAACTGTATCATACTTATTTACGGTTTTTAAGAAATTGGTCTATTTCTCACAGTCCCTTTTTAAGGGCTCACCTGATTAGGTCAGGCCCACTCAGAATGATCCTTTATTCATTCAGAGCCAACTGATTTGAGGCTTTATTTACACCTTCATAGTTTTGTCATACTATATCAATCATATTCACAGTCCTGCCAACATCCAAGGGGAAGGAATTACATGTACACCATGTAAATGAACATTACATATATACCATGTACACCAGGAATCTGGAATCTTCAGGGCCAACTTAAAATTCTGCTTATCACAAATAAGGAAACAAATTTATTCACTGAAACATTATTTTTAATAATAAGATTTTGAAAACAACCTAAGCAACATACATAGGAGAATAAAACACAGTACATCCACACAATGAAGCAATTTTTTAAATTGAGGCATAACTGACATATATACAAAGAGGTAATCTTGAGAATATGTTATTAAGTGAAAAAATCAAAGTTCAAGAGTATAATATGCTACCTCTGGTGTAAGAGAAAAAAAATAAGAACATACACATGTGTTTGGTTATTTTGGCAAAAAGAATCAAGAAGACAATTTAGGGGGAGAAAAGTGAATAAAACAGAAACTAGTAAGATTGGTTGCCCACAGTGAGTGAGTAGAAACAAGGTGAAAGCCTGGAGATGTTGAATGGGAGTAGAAGGTATGAGTGTTAGTGACTTTTTTTTTTTTTTTTTTTTTTTTTTTTTTTTTTTTTTAATTTGAGAAAGAGAGAGAGAACACGAGGAGGAGATGGGCAGTGGGGGGGAGGGGGCGGGGAGAAAGAGAATTTTTTTCTATTTTTTTTAATGTTTATTTTTTTAGAAAGGGAGAGAGTGCACGTGCAAGCACTTACAAGCCAGGGAGGGACAGAGAGGGAGACACAGAATCCGAAGGAGGCTCCAGGCTCTGAGATGTCAGCACAGAGCCTGATGCGGGACTCAAACTCACAAACCATGAGATCATGACCTGAACCAAAGTTGGACACTTAACCGACGGAGTTACTCAGGTACCACCCACCCCCTCCAGGGGGATTTTCAATCATGCCAGAAATGGTACAAGTCTCTCAGTCTTTCCAGCTTCTTTCACCTGACACAAGAAGGTCTCTGAGCTAATGGACTGATTTTAACTGACATATAATATACCAAAAAATCCCTATAGTTATATATTCTTTTTTCTAATCTAGCTTGTTTCTCTCAGAATAGCTCAGACCTGGATTTGAGTCCTAGCACTGCTGTGAATTATCTGCATAGCCTTATGCAGGTCACTCCTTTTTACCTATGAAAAGGGACAATTTTTCCCTCTTTCCCCACCCCCACTAGGTTGTGAGGGGAAAAACAAAAGAGCTCAAAATGACCTGAGGTCCTATGCAAACTGTGAGGTGCTGAAGGGTAATGAATAATTCTACTAAGACTCAACCACTATGAGAAAAGAGGCTTTTAAGGAATCTGCCTTTCTCGATTCAGTTGGAGGCAACTCCGCCCCCATGCCAAATCACAACCAGAGCTGCAGAAACTGCCAGTTTCTTTGAAATCCAATAGAAAACTATATAATGAATGTCTGGCTCTGAGAAGCAGCTTATGCTAGAACTGCTAGGGCTCCAGGAAGCACAGAGAAAGCCTAGTCCTGCTCACCTTTCCCCATACTCAGGGCCGACTCTCGCCTACTCTGTCTTCCCTCAGGTCTCTACAGAGGGCAAAGGAGAAGGAACCACAAGACTCCACTGAACTCCAAGTATAAACTTTATTTCTATTACAAGGATGTTAATAATAGTAGTAGTAGTGGTAGTAGTAAAATAAAAAGAGGGGAAGGGGGCTCTGATACTTGGTTTTCAGAGCAAGCCACGGAGCTTAGGCCTCAGGCCTGATCCCAGCAGAGCCCAGCATGGCCCTGGTGGCAACAGGGAGCCCCCAGCCTTCTCCAGCCGAAGGCAGTAAAGAAAAAGGAGCCGTGCTCCCCACCAGAAACAGAAGGCAGTTATGCCAAATGCCGAAGAAGCAGATTAAAACAAAGCCTCTAGTGCGCTCACCTCTAGCTCAACTCATCTCCAAAAGCCTTGTTCCTAACATATATTGCAACTGGCCTGAACACTCTACCAGGTGCCTCCATACATACCAGAGGCCCAAATTCTAGAGTGTGGAGGGCCAGTACACAGGAGAGGTTACCTAAAAGTTCCCAGATCGAGGCCCCAGCAGGGAAGAGAATCACTCCACTGGTGAGTACCAGGTTTCCAGAACCTTTTCTCTCCTCTTTCCACCAGGACCATACAGCACCAAGAAGCAGTGGTAATAGTATGTCAAAAGATGGAGCCCTGGTGGGCTGAGAGGCCATACACTGTATTTCTGTGAGGCCAAAAGGCAGGCAGCAGCTAAAGCTGAAACATTTCTCAACAGCCTCCCTGCTAACCCTCCCCCAAACCTTCAAACTCCCACAGCACAATCTCAAAAGACACAAAATGGCCATAACCTAGAAAAAGTTAAAATCTGTAAAATCTCCCCTGCCCATAGAGCCCAAGAGGTGGGGCCTGAACTGCGGCAAGTGCTGCTGTGCAGAGAAGATGGAACCAACGTGCAGGTTCTTTGCCGACGCCATTACTCCTCCTCTTCTTCCTCCTCTGCATCCCCAGCTCCCTGCTGCTTGGGGGTTTTTGCCTGAACAACAGAACACAAAGTAGAAAGCAGGAAGTGAAAAAGCAGTCCTCCTCCTTTAGAGCCCTGGAGATGTCAAACTTCTATGGAAACCTCCTCATCCAAAGCCAAAAGAACAGCCCTTTGGCCACGAATGCCTGACCGCTCACCTCTGACTTCAAGAACCACACCAGTTCCACCCATTTCTGAGTCCTAGCTGAGCATCATGGGCTGGATCCCCAATTACCTTTGCAGTTCTGTTGCGGTAGTTGGTGGCTGTGGAGGTGACCCGCGAGTTCCTGCCACCCTCACTCCTACCACTGAAAGAGAAGGATTGGAAACTAGTACCTGAGAGGTTGCTGAACGAAAGTCAGAAAACTCGGGAGAGAACAAAAACAGCTGGAACCAGACAAAAGCAGCTTTCCGCCAGCAGACCAAACAAATGAACAACGGAAAACCCACCAATAGCAAAAGAACATTTTGGAATCAGGTCACAATACACACAAAAGTCCACACACTCCCACTATGTTCTCCCGAGCTATTCCCAAGCTCCACTCCTGGGCTACTGATTCTTACCTTGCTCCATATCTCCCGGAAGGCCCACGGGGGAAGGAGGGTACGAGGTTTTCTGGGTAGAGATTTCGCACCGGGTGAATCACTGGAGCATGTCCAGTGGCCATGGCCGAGTTATGGCTGTTTCGATTCCGCCCCCGGCTGTCTTGGCTGTCTAAGTTGTTGAGCTTCAGTATGCGAGGAGGACTGGGCTGGCACCCAGGTCTGGGGCTTGATGTGGATGCTGACAGTCGGTTACAGGTAGCTGTCATATTGTTAATGGGTCTGCTGGGGGGAAGAGGGTAGGTGGGCCCTTTAGCCATTTCCTGCTTGATATCATCCATGTAACCAGAAGACAGATCTCCTGAGAAGAGAAAAAAGCACCAGTTTTAGGGAAAAGCCTACTCTTGCTATTAGTGCTGGATTTGGGGCAGGAATAATAGAATTCTGGGTAGAAGAGAACTGCCTTAGCCCTAAAGACTGCTGAAACCCACATCTTCAGGACAGGTTTGGGTCCTGACTTATTTTGTCCACACTTATTACCTGGGTCCTCAAACACAGTCTTCCTGACTATTCAACAATGGTGTGCCAGCAAACCTCGAAAAATAATTTGTAATTGGCTTTGTAATGGTTAGGTTTAAAAAACAGCTTACTTGCCTAGTCATGCGGGTTTTTGGGTTTTTTTTTAATGTCTATTTTTGAGGGTGTGCATGTGCTCTAATGGGGGAGGGGTAGAGAAAGACAGAGACAGAGGATCAGAAGCAGGTTCTGCGCTGACAGTAGAGCCTGAAGCAGGGCTTGAACTCACAAGCCATGAGATCATGACCTGAGCCAAAGTTGGACACTTAACCGACAGCCATCCAAGGACCCCCAGACATGAGGTTCCTAAATAATATTATTACTAATGAACTTGAGTACCCTAAACTAGAAACAGGGACCCAGTGCAGACACAGTAAGATCTGAAAATTATTTCCAAATTATCAACTGCACAGATAGAAGACCTACAGCTGAATAAGCACTGACGAGCCTTTCTCATGGCTGTCCCCAAAGCCATTACCCTATAATACACTTGAGACAGCTCAGTCTAACATGGGACCACAACTAGCCTCAAGAGAGACCCCAGTGAGATCCTACTGTGCTTGGGAATTCAGAATTCAGGTAACCCCCATGTTAGAGTAGCAGATGACAAGTGGTAAGCAGGCCTGAGCCAGCAGCAGACCTGTGGCCTTGGCTCAGCCCTGGCTAATACCCTGGTGTCTGACACGCCGCTTGGGCAGCTCTGGTGAAGTCTCTGGATGCTGGAAATCCTGTCTAGGAATCCCCTCCGTCACATGGTTGTTTGCTGTGGTTGGACGTTGGTCACACTGGTCCTGACAAGAAAAAACAGAATTTGTACTTCAGAATTGAGTTAACCCTAAGAGAGGGAACAACAGGAGGAAAGGAAGGAATGGCAGGTTGGGCAAACACACCTTATGGGGGAGGGAGGAGACAGATACAACTTCAACAACCACCGTGAAAAAGGGCCCAGGACTAAGAGGAAACACATCTGGAATGGCTCAATCATTCCCATTAGCACCTAAGGCACTAAGAGAAGCACTCTGATTTCTACTAGGATAAGGGAAGGGTTGATCTCAGGAACCCAGAAAAGCACATCAATACTTTGATCAAAGAGGATATACACGGTTACTTCTTTCATAGTATCTCCTTGGAGACAACAAGCAGTTACTTATGTACTGCTTGATCCAAAAGCAGATGCTTTCTTATAGAAACGTGTCATGTTCTAGCAACAGCTATATCAGACCAACTACATAAATGACGCTGAACACAGCTCCAGGAGTAGCTTCTCATAACAAACAAGACTAGACAGAGAATATATTTTTTACCAACAGGTTGGAATCCTAGACTGCAAAGCTGAAAAAGCACTTTATTTATTTTCAAATGTTTACTTATTTTTGAGAGAGAGAGAGAGAGAGAGAGAGAGAGAGAGAGAGAGAGGAGACAGAGCACAAGTGGGGAAGGGGCAGAGAGAGAGGGAGACACAGAATCTGAAACAGGTTCCAGGCTCTGAACTGTCAGCACAGAGCCCGTCGTGGGGCTCGAACTCACAAACCGCAAGATCATGACCTGAGCCGATGTGGAACGCTTAACCAACTAAGCCACGTAGGAGCTCCTGAAAAAGAACTTTAGACTGTCTAGTCTAATTCCCTCATTTACAGACATCCCCAGTGAAGGGACAGAACCTATCCAAGGTCAAACATAAAGGTAAAGCCAGAACCAGACCTTCAGGTCTCCTGGAATTAGAGACTCAAATGCCACCAAAAGGAAGAAACTGCCTTGTCAAAAATAAAATGTTGGTCAGTGATCTCAGGGAACCTCGCATCAAAATCTTTTTGGCAGGTCCAGGATGCTTGCTTAAATGGAGTCCTGGCTCCTAGGTCCTCAGCTAATGACATTATGGTTTTAGTTGACAGAGGTAGAGAATGTCTGAAAGCCTGAGGTAGTAGACCCCTTTGATAATTCACAGAACAGGGCATGGCCAATAGCCAGGTCAGGTTTACATGCAACTTAAAAGCTAAAGAAGCATTCTCAGTTCTTAAAGTCTCAGGTTTACTCAGAGGATCTGCATGGAATGAAGCGGACAGGTCCTCTAGAGACTCTTACCTGGTGATGGAACAGCACCTCCTCCTCCAGCTGTACCCCACAGAATTCACACGGGATGATGATGCTATCCTCTACAGGGGGTGAATTGCTCAGGCCCATCAAAGAGTCTAACTGGTTACTTGCAGCCTGCTGCAAAAACTTTTGGAAGATGACATCAGGGTCCTCCACCTCTTTGGGGGGAGTGCTGCCCATACTGAGTGAAGGTAAGGCACAGGAAGGGTTACAGCTTGTCTGTCTCAAAAAACATAGATAAAAAAAAAAAAAAAAAAAGCAGAAGTTAAGGAAAACACTACATTCCTAAATCATTATCTAAAAGTCACAAAATGTTAATAATGCTTAATACTGGGGAGAGAGACTAAAAAGGGTGAGTTAGGGCAAACGCAGATGAAACACTCTACTTTTATTTTTAATATTTCTGCTGTTTTGTATTTTTTTTACTGTGTTCATGTTATTTTTTCTTTAGATATTTCATTTTTGGGGTTCCTGGCTGGCTCAGTCAGAATATCTGACTCTTGATCTTGGGGTCATGAGTTCAAGCCCTATGTTGGGTATAGAGATTAAATACATTTCAAAAAAAAAAAAAAAAGATTTTATTTTTAAGTAATCTCTACACCCAACATGGGGCTTGAATTTATAAACCTGAGATCAACAGTCACCTCTCTACCAACTGAGCCAGCCAAGCACCCCAGTGATTATTCTTTTTATTTTTTGGGGGGGCGGGTTGTTTTTGATTATTCTTTTTAAGTTGAAAAGATTGGAGATTCTCCCCACAACCACAGAATAAGAGAGGCTGTTATCCCTATTAACGGGTTTTCTTATGCTGCTCCCAAGACAAAAACTGGATGTATTCAAATACTGTTACTATTCCACTTATGGAGGGGGCACATATGTTCCACCTAGAGCACAGGGATTACTTAATAGTTATGGAAATCCCAAATCAGAGACAGCAAGACTGTGGGAAGAAAAATGGTTCCCTCCACCAGGTAATCCTCAAACACAAAGGCTATTCTCTAACCATTCCTAAATGGCTCAAGAACTTTCAACCATTCAAAAAGAATATGACACCTTTCATATACCAGGTATTGAGAGATTCAGTAGCTAGGAAAACACAGAACATCCTCAAAAAACTCAGGCTAGTGGTGCAGACCAACAGGGCATCAGGAGCCCATACCACAGGGTGACAGGCTAAAAGAGAAGCAGGCACAGCACTTTCAAAGAGTGGGACTTCTGACCTAGCCTTCAGAATTTAGGATAGTTTCCTGAAAGTCATGCAAGAACTAAGTCCATGAGCAAGGAGTCTGCACTGTTGAGTGTGTTGGGGAGACAGGATGGATGGCCACACACCTTGCAGGCAGAAAAAGTCAAGTGCAAAAAAGACCCTTAACCCTTCCAGGGAACTGCAAGGACTTCAGTATGCCTCCAATACATCAAAATGTGGCATGAGATGAGACCAGCTTATAAGATGGTCAGTAGAGATGTACACTAGTGACCACAGAATGGGAGGAGCAATCGGGCCTGCTGGAATGAACATTACTTTTTCCAAGAGGGAACAAGGCAGAGTTTTCAAATCTGTAGGTCAGTCATGCCATGTTAAGAAATATAGTTGCCACTTCTGCCACAGGTGCATTAAAATAGTTTGCTCAAGATCTCATGTGGTCTACAACACCAACGATGGCCTGCACATATTCCTCAAGTAATTCACAACACACCTGATGGTCAATCAGCAGTTCCTCTGGGTAGAGCTCCTCACAGAATTCACAAGGCAACATGGTCCGGTCAGCCGTACCTAGGTATCAGGCCATACAGTCAAACTCAATGAACAAAAACAAACTCAATTCAACCTTTTATCTCCCTTGTGAAGTTTTGTATAAAAGTCCAACTTCCTTTGACATTTCTTATATATAGCAATTTGTGGGGCTATAAATCCTCAAAGGGAAACCATCTAAGAGACAGGCGCTAGGCAAAAAAAACTTCCACTATGAAAAAAGAGATTTCTTTGTCACCATTTCCTGAGTAGGAATAAAGTGATTACTTACCCACTACTCTAATTAAGGAAGAATTCAAATGTGTACTAACTCTAGGCACTAATCTAAAATCTTAAATTTTTTTAGAAAATTTAAGTCATAAATGGATAATCCTAATTCTGAGGGCACTGTATTAATTGGGAGAACTTTATCACTAAGATTCAGTCTTTGTTAAAATAAACATGTTGAAATTTCCAGGGCAACCGTGACAAGAATAGCGACAGAGAATATAAATTCCATACGAGAGGAAAAATGGAATGAAACAAGCAAACAAAAGTCAATAAAACAATCTAATAAATAACCAAGAAAGGAGAAAATAAAGGAAACTACACTGAACCCAGTCTTCACTTGTGACTACTATGCTACTGCATCTTACTTTCTTCCATACCATGAAAGTCAAGTCTGAACAGTTGACAAGGAGACTAACATTAAAAGACGCTGCTTAGGTGTGCCTGGGTGGCTTAGTTGGTTAAGCGTCCAGGTAAGTGTGCGACTCTTGGTTTTGGCTCAGGTCATGATCTCACAGTTCATGAGATGGAGCCCCAAGTCAGGCTCCACACTGATAGCACAGACCCTGCTTGGGATTCTCTCTCTGTCTG